GACGGCCGGACTGCCCTCCGTGAGGTGGCTGCAGAGCACCGGCATCCTGGACGCCAGCACTGCCGCGCAGAGGTAAGGGGCATCGTGGGCATCCCGGCATCGTGGGCATCCCGGCACCGTGCGCATCCTGAGCATCCTGCACCTCCCAGGCATCCCGAATATCCCAGGACGCCTGGTACTTCAGGCAGCACAAGTACCCTGGGCTCCTCGGGCAGCTCCTGCATGCTGTATCCCTGCACCCCTTGGGTACACCAGGGATTTCCACGCACTTCGGGCACCCTGCGCACTGAAGGCATTTCAGGAACCTCTGAGCATCCTTGGTGCCCTGTGCAGATGGGTACCCTGAGTATCCCAGGCACTGGGGCATCCTTGGCACCCCATGTCCCCAGGTACCCTGGGCATCCTGGCACCCTGCACATGCCGGAGCTTCTGCCACATGTTGGATGGGCTGGTGGGTGGTGGCAGTGGGGCTGGAGCTGCTGCCGAGCTGTGAGGGGCCCGTTGTGCCATGCTGTGGGGTACTGCGTGTCCACCGGGGCCGGTGCCGGGAAGGGCCTCCGGCGGGGAGCTGCGCTGGGGCAGGCTCTGACATCGGGACCGGGAGGGCAGTGATGGGCACAGACCCTCCTGCAGCCTGCACCGCCCAGCCGCACAGCCCCACGTGTCCCGCTGCCCGGGGGCTGCTTCTGGCCCTCCCCACAGACCTCCTGTGCCCCATCCCTGTCCCTGACATCCCATGGAGCTCAGAACTCCATGTGCCCCATCCCCGTCTGTGCCATCTCCGTGAGACCCCAGGTGCCCCGTTCCCATCTCTGCTGTCTCCATCAGGATTTTGGTGCCCCATCCCTGCTGTCCCATGAGGTTCAGGGCTCCCTATGCCCCATCCCTGTCCCTACTGTCCCCATTGGGATCTATATGCCCTATCTCCATCCTAGTCCCATGGGACTAGGGGTTCCATGTGCCCCATTGCTATCCCTGCTGTCCCCATGCAGTTTAGGGTTCCATGTGCCCTATCCCTGTCCCTACCATCCTGTTGGGCTCCCTGAGTCCCATTCCCATCCATGCCATCCCCACGGGGCTTGGGGCCCCCTGTGCCCATTCCCATCCATGGCAGCCTCATGGGGCTCCATATGCCCTATCGTCATCCCTGCTGTCCCCATGGAGCAACATGTGCCACATCCCTATCCCTGCTGTCCCCACTCCTGTGCCATGGGGTCCTGAGCTGTGCCCAGCAGCTGCCCACCCCCCAGCACGGCCCCAACCCCTCCTGTCCCGCCATACTCTTTGGCAAGGGGGGAATTAGGGAACTCCTGAGGACCCTGTGGCTTTTCCACCTGCGACCCC